GAGATCTGCGTTGGTGAAGGTGATGGGTTCCTCCCTCAGTCGCTTTACCGGGGGCATATGAGTGACTTCCCCCACGTAAAGCGATTGAGCCCACTTCTTTCGTTGGCTGGTGGAATCGCCCCCTGTATTGCCACCGGTGATCATGAGGATGTGGCGTTTTTTCTCCTGGTAGTGGGGGTATTCCTCCTCCTCTTCTTCCAAGTTCCCAATCTCCCTTTTCTTGCCGAGGGGGATGGTATTCGGGTTTACCCAAGCGTTCACCTTCGTGTGGTGCCCTCGGGGAGGCCCCTGATGAGAAGGTCCCTCCTGCCGAGGGCTCTGAACAAATTGGGACAGGTGCCCTGCTTGTATTAACCTCTCGATGGCCGTCTTTAGCTGATGGCAGTCATCGGTCATGTGCCCCTGGTGCCGATGGAAGCGACAGTAGGGGAACTGAGGGTTGATAGCGTGTACCTCCGGGGGTGCGCGAGAGTCGCGCTCAACGAGGCCCCTCTCCTCGGCAAAATCGAGGATGATGCTGACGGGGTGCGTCAATGGTGTCCGAGGGCGGTCCAGGAGAATGGGCTGGGCCCAAGTCTTAGGGTTGCTCTTATAACCTCCCCCGGGCTTGGCTTGGCCTTGCCGAGGGCGGTCATCAGAGGGTCCCGAAGCCTTGGGGTGATTGGGAGGAGCCCCCGGCCCTCGGTTATGCTTGTTGTCAGCCCTCGGGGGCTGCTGGTCCGGATGCTGGTGATACTTCTCCACCTCCTCGGCCTCAGCATATCGGTCCCCCTGCTGCAAAGCCCTTGTCGGCCTTGTCGGCCTCCGTCCTCCAGCGCTCTAGGAAGTCCCGAAGGGTCTCATCCCTCTTCTGGCGTATTGTTAGGAGGTGGGAGAAGTGCTTCCTTGTGCGACGCCTCCCGGCAAATTGTGTCAAGAACCGTTGGGCGAGTTCTTGCCATGAATCAATACAGCCCTCGGGCAGCCTGTTGAACCATTCGTATGCCGGCCCCTCTAAGGTGGAGAGGAACCAACGACACAAATATTCGTCCGACGCCCCTACCATCATCATGCTGTTCTGGTACTTGCTGTAATGTTCCTGGGGGTCCGTTTTTCCGTTGTAGGGCTGTATATGTTGCCCTCAGTATTTTTCCGGGATCCGGGCCGCCAATACCCTTGGAGTAAATGGCGTCCGAGTCCGGAGCTGGATGACGGGTTCCCCGGAGCCCTCGGCCACCTTCTTCTGTAACTCCTCCATTTTGGCCATCATGGCCTCGTATTTGAGATCTGAATGAGGGGTGGAGGTGGTGGTGTGAGCTTTGTTGGATTCCATCTCGTCAAGCCGGCGTTGGAGGGCCGCAATAATCTCGTCCCGGGGATCCTTCGGGAGGGTCTCCGCCCCCTGCGAACGAACCCGGGCCGAGTGGGCCTGGTTGATTTGGTGCCGAGCATCATCGGCATGAAGGGGTGCCTTGCCTTTGTCCCGAGGGGGACGCTCCTCGTCTGCCCTCGAAACAGATCCCCCGCTTTCCTGGGGCCTTTGGAGTGCTTTCCCCCCTCGGCGGTCTTGGACCCCTCGGCGGTCTGGCCCTCCTCCGAGCCGGTTGAGGGCGGAAGTACGGGGCCTTTCCCTGTTGTCATCATGGCGGTCCCGGGACTGAACTTCCTGGGAGGACGTATCTTGGGCCACCACCCCTTCGTCGTTTCTCACCCGAGGGGTGGGATTTCCGAAGGGGTGTGGCAGAGGGGGAAGTATGATATTTTCCCCGATCTGAGGGTGAGCTGGAGCCAGGGTGCCGAAGGCACCCGGGTTCTGGGTGAGCGTCTGGATGAAGGCGGATAGCGCCGATTGCACGTCGATGGTGAGAACCGGAGGGCTGACTTGGTCATCGCTCCGGTTTTTCTTCTTGGCCTCGATGCCGAGGCGGGCATCGGGGGCATTTTGTTGGATCTGAAGGCGTAGGTCGACAGCCGCCTGTTCCAGCCCAGCGATGACACCGCCCTCGGGAGCCCTGTGAGAGGCTTCGGGGGCGTTGACGTCGCCGAGGGCCAGGTTCTTGTCTTCTACGTTCTTTGAGTTGGCACGTGTTGTCCTCACCATTTTGATAGAGGGCTAATGTTTTGTCTTTGGTCGAGGGGGAGGGTTTCTTACTCGATTGTTCGAACTCTCAACGAGAGCACCAAATGATGGATAGTCTACCCGGGGGTATATATCCGAAGGGTTATTACGGGGAATAACTTAGAGAGAAGTCAGAGCAAGTAAGTAAAAGTAGAGAGAGAGTGTATTCAATATGAATGCCGTTTTCAGCGTGGTTACAAATGGGGAAATGGGGTGCTATTTATAGTAGCAATAAATGCCGGGCAGGGACACGTGTCAAGCGCTCATTGGCCGAGGGGTCACCTCAACTGGTTGGCGCTGGCAGCCGCATGTGGCCGCATTTAATGCGGCTGTTGGATGGGACGTCTGTGCGGGGTACGGTGATCTGTACGCATGTGAGGCGGATATCTTGTCGAGTGAGATGCCTTCGGCTATAGAGCAGTAGCCGAGGGCTCTTCCACCCGATGGCACCCTGGTGCCGAGGGCTCACAGTGTCGAGGGCTACTGTTTTCGCCGTTTTCTCCCAGTTTCCTAATTTGCTTGAGAAACCCGTTCTGTGAGAATTTAGAGCCTTCGGCCAGGGGGCCGAAGGCACCCCTGGCGCGTAGTGCGGGCTGCTTGGTACTCCGGGCGCTGTGATTTGGGCCTGCTGGGCCTTCTGGGCCTGTTGGGCCTTCGCTGGAGTGGTAGGAGTCTGTGGGCCGGGGGTTCCCGGGCCATGTACTCCATCAATATATAACCTAGCTCCCAAGAAATAATGTGTTTTTAAAGTACAAAGTTTTAAATCTATTATACTACTCATTAATGCTCTCTTGACTTTTACAATAAATATCTTGAGCCACACAATCTCCAACATTGGAAGTTGGTACCTTCATTAGTACACAGGGAACTTGGGCAGGTTTGGATCTTGATTCTGCTAAATACTCTTTATAAACTTTTACAATAAATATCTTTTATTATTCTGCTAAATCCATTTGCACTTCGTGCATAAATATATTTTTATTACTTTTCAGTATTCCTTTGGATATGTATTGATTCAATTTAATTTAATTTATTTATTTCAAGGGTAAGGCCTTTTTAAAACTCACTTATTTGAAACCCAAAATACCTGGGATACATATATGGCCGAAATAGACATGCCCAAAATGCTAAGTGGAATCATGTACTTCTCATATCTTTTTATCCATACTAAATATATCTTTCCATACCATTCAGAAACAAACATCCCTTTCACATGTTGGTTAAATTTCTATTATATTCAAGCTTTTGACATCTTTACAAATATTTACTTGTCACTTGACATCATTCCATACTAAATATATTTACTTAGACATGGTTCTATTTTTGAAGAATTTCAAAATACAAACACTTCAATGACATTTTGGGCAGATATTATTACCACATTTTTATTCCCAAAAAATGGACTTAATTTCAGATTTCTATTTTCCAATTTTGTCAAAGATACCACAACTCCCAAGTGTATTGATTTATAATAATAACTCTTAGCAATGGCTAACCAAGTTTTTATTTTTGAATAACAATTTCGAATAAGCTTTAATACCTAAAATTTACTTCATGTTTGATATTGCAACTTTATGTACTAAAATATTCCAAAATTTTACTTTCTAACAGACATTTTTTAAACTTATTTGTACTTTTATCCAAGAGTGTGTTCATAGTAATAATAACTCTTTTAATACGTTTTGACAGGTGTAATTTTCTGGTTGAACAGGTTTACAAACGCTGTCTAGAAAATTGTAATAGGAATAGTTCTGGGACCTTAGAAGGTTGCCATTTATGTAAAATTTAAAAGGTTTGTAATATTATTTAGTAAATAGGGATTGCAGGTAACCCTCCATTCTGCAAAAGACTAAGGTATGAACTTCTTTACCTCACTTGGTTATTTAAAATTATGCAAGTTGTTGAATCAAATTGCCAATTGTCAAATTGCAACCAAAGAATATTGCATAGATTTTTAAATGTAATACACTTGTATTAGAATTTCCAATCCAAATGTGACACTTTTGAAATCATAAGAGTACACATTTACTTGTTTACGTAATGCCTCTTAGAGTTTACACATTTACATGTTTCATAGTAAATCTAGCAGTTAAGCCATTATTCACACCATCCCATGCCTCGTCTAGCAGTTAAGCCATTATTCACACCATCCCATGCTCTCGTCTAGCAGTTAAGCCATTCTTCACACCATTGGTAGCATTTTTCTTAACCCAAAACTTTTTCATCATCCTGGAAACCATTAGTAAAGCCTTAGTTTGAAAACAAAGGTCTGTTTATAAAATACAAAGATATTAGGAGCATAAACTTCACCAAATGGTTTAGGAATATCCCTTCTCTGAAATCCTGCAAAACTGCCCAATATAGATACAAAACATCCTAAACATAGTTAAAACATAATAGCACACCACACAATCGTTTATTCACACCATCCCATGCTCTCGTCTAGCAGTTAAGCCATTCTTCACACCATTGGTAGCATTTTTCTTAACCCAAAACTTTTTCATCATCCTGGAAACCATTAGTAAAGCGTTAGTGTGAAAACAAAGGTCTGTTTATAAAATACAAAGATATTAGGAGCATAAACTTCCCTAAATGGTTTAGGAATCTCCCTTCTCTGAAATCCTGCAAAACTGCCCAATATAGATACAAAACATCCTAAACATAGTCAAAACATAATAGCACACCACACAATAGTCATAAAGTAGGGTTTAATGGTCTGTTACACAGTTTTCAGTTATCCCAAAAAGAGAAGGCATACGTCATGTGCATGAAACTGTTTTCAAATAACAATAAACACAATAGTAGGTGCCAACAAAATATCATCAATGTTATTCATGAACTGAACCCGCTCTAGAGCGGTTCCTGTTTGATTTTGATCTTCAGCTTCTTGCCATTCCCAATGCTTGAAAATTCATCATTCAAGTTTCTTTTGACCTCTTCATTTAATTCAACATTGACCTCCCTTTGGGTACATTCCGTAGGTGTGTCGGGAAGCTCAATTGGTGCAGAAACCTAGCAGTACTATAGCTGTTTAGTGAACCCTCTACAGAATTTTGAACGAAAATATTATATACCTCTTAACAGTCGATCGCTTACCTCCTTTTCTGCCGAAATTCGTTTCCCCTTGCCCTTACTGACAGTTGATTTTTCTCTGATGGAGGTTTCTCCTAAATTTGCATTTGAACCAATCTGCAAAAAATGATTTTAAGTTAGTTGTCATCTTTATTTATTCAAAGCCCAAATACACAAATTAATAATTTTTCTAAATACCTTTTCTGGTGTACTCTCATCAATTTCATTAGTTTCCAAGTGCTCTTTCTTCTCATACATTGAGATAACATTAGGATCTCTTATGATGCTGACTACCCCTAGAGAAATCCCATCATTATAGGCATTTTCCTCACCTTTCTTCTTCCTGAGCTGTATTTTGAAAATTCCCTTTATATCAACCAAGTTTTCAATGTCTTCCGGAAAGCGACTTGGATCCCCGGTTTTCTGTGTTTTCCAAGTTATGTGGTTAGCCCATCCATAATTGATTGAAGGTCTGATAAAGTAAACACTGCTAACGGGTTATTGTGTTACCTTCTCCACCTCGGCTTTAAGACTTGCTGAAGTTTTACCCAGAATTTCTATGCATTCCCTGTCCCATAACATGAAGTTTCCATACCCTGTGTTGTCCATAATACACACACTGACCTTGTAGCTGAATCATCAGAGTAACAATTTTTATTACTAAAATAAAAACGTGAACATCCTACACCCGTAAAAGCACATTAGGTTAAGTAATGAACCGATAAACTCCTTCTGCCATTGACATGCTGCAAGTTGTACACCTAAACTGTTCCTCTTCTGGTTGCAATTTTTTGTGGCATGTTGGGCAACTTAGGTAGCACCATTCTCGATAGTTTTCTATAGAAACTATCTCAGCAAGTACCCAATAAACATTCTCCTATCCAAGTATAATTTTCTTATTAGCAGTGGATATATTTATTCAAAATGCGAAATCTATGACTCTAGCTTCAGGACACACCTCAGTTGCCTTCATCAAATCCTCCATGGTGGTAATGACAGCATTTCCACCGAGTATATCATCCCTCCCTTCCGCATGTGAGCATTGCGTGTTGCAGGTTTGAGTCGTGGTGTCATCACCATCTGCTGGAAACCTATATATTGCATGGTAAACAGACTTTAGTTCTAGGATACTTGAGTTTTAGGAGATTTTTTTATGAAATTGGGTAGTCAGAGTTTAGTTTTAGGAGATTTAATACGCATACTCGCTTTGGAACTCTAAAAACTCAGTAGTGTTCCCGTTGATTATGAGCTTTGATACATCAAAAGACGAATTCACTGTCAAGATCCCTGTGTTTAAAACAGCACTACCATAAGCTTTGGCTACTGTGTACTACATAATGAGTGCTGCTAAGTTTCTCAAACCTTGGTATCTTTTTGGCCTACATAGTTGAAATATCACGAAGACAGGCACTCCTTCATTAGCATTAACATAATCCAGATACTGGTTTATGTACTTGTTCCACAATACGGCGCCCAATCTGTTACCCCTGTAGTTTAGAAAAGTTTCATTCAATGAGCATGTGTCTTTTGTTTTGCTAAAATCTTTTAAGTTGTAAAACTTACTCCGGGTCTGTCAAAGTCAACTCCATTAGCCTATCAGTCCTCCCATTGATTATGTGGGTCTGGATAAGGCTCTTGGACAGAACCTTCCCAATGACATCTTCATAATTAAACGATAGAAACTGTAATTAGGATATTTGTGCAAGCAATGTAGTATGGAAAAATTTGACTCTAACTCACCAATTAGAGTTTTGTCGTTGATAACTCTTTGGGCATGCAGCATATCAAAAGGCTGAAAATCATAGACCATCATAGGCATTTCCGTCTTCGTATCTTCCCTCAACAGGGTTTTTGAGATGAACTGAATTATGTAGGCATGACTTGTAGTCTTCACTGTTTGGTAATTGTCAAGCACCAAAAAGTTTCTTATGGCATAAACTTTGTTCTCTGTAATATTAGGCTTATACATTGCTATCTGCGGCCTCTTGATAATGGTGTGAATCCGATCTCCCTAGTAAGAATTTACATTGGATTAAGAAAAGTTGAGCAAAAGACGCCATAGAAGTTAGATGTTACAAACCATACCTCTGCGTCATGCAAAACCATTTCAAGAGTCTCCCCGCCCTTAGAGTGTGGAGGAACTTCGTATGCCCTAACTACCCGAACCTTGATTGCCCAGGTCGTCTTTGTGTGATCGATATCCTTGAGCAAGGACCACATCCCTTGTGCTGATGAAGCGGTTGCCATTGCACTGATTTTGAACTTTTGAACTTAAAAATACAGCTGCTGAATACTGGTTTGTGGTATGTTGTGGTCATCCCCTGCTTGGGTATTTATATTGGATAAAGGAGAGAATAACCTAGGTTGAAAATACCACACAATCTCAATATTAAGATTTGTAGTACAATGCATTAATTATAAGGTGAATCAATTGGGTTAACCAAGGGTTAAAAATACCCACTCAATCTTTACATTGAGATTATGTAGTACATTGCATTTATTGTTTGTGAGGCTCAAGAAATGTTTGGGTGGCTCCAATTCAGAACTATCAAGTACAAATACCCACTCAATTTTTACATTGAGATTATGTAGTACATTGCATTTATTGTTGTGAGGCTCAAGAAATGTTTGTGTGGCTCCATTTATTGTTCAGAACTATCAAGTACAATGTCTAAATTAATATTGTTATGCCAAGATTGTACAATGCATTAAATGTTTGTGTGGCTCAAGGTTTACTTTTAAGATTTGAAGTACAATTTACTTCATATTTTAATCATCACATCAGATTTCACATTAAATGTTTGTGTGGCTCTGTACTATTTTAGTGGCAAGCATTAAAGAGCATCAGTGGACCTGCCCAGGACCCGTTTGTGCACCCATAGTGAACCGACCCGACCCAACAGTGCACTGCATTTGGGCGGGAACACTGTTCATTTTTTCTTTTGGCTTTGTATAATAGAAGATTTTATCAAGAATTGACGAAATCACGAAGGATTATTCGTATATTCCTAATAAAATTCTTGGCTTGATCTTTTCCTCTTCTTTGGAATCGTTCGGAGCCTCTCGGGAGTTCTTCGGAGCTTTTCTGCAACACTTCTTCGATCGAAAGTTCTCCTTTTCTTTCCCTCAAATGAGACCCTTATTTATAGGTGTGGAGGGGTGAAAATATGCTTTACGGTTTAGCAAATTAATCCATATGCCTAGGGCCTCAAATAAAATGGGCTTTGGGCTCTATTTGCTTGCATTTTAAAAGTTAGAAAAATCAGCACTTGTCCAATGTATCTGGGCAACCTTTTTAACAAGGTTCGTAGCTATTTCTCATGCATATGGACTGGTTTCTTAACTAGATTCATCACCTCTTCATATATTGGATCATGTCTCTTATTTATTGGGCCATTATTTAATATTGAGCTCAAAATAAATAAATGAATAAGACCGGTCCATTCTTTTAAAGGTTTGATTTATAATTAAATCAATTGAGTATTTTTTTAATGACCTAAATTAATTAAATTATTAAATTTTATCTGAATGGAGCCATATTAATATTTTTATAAGGTCCAACAACCATCACGAGCAGCCCAACAGAATTGAACGTTGGCCCAATAATCTTTAAATGTCCACAAACATAAAAATACAATATAAATATCAAGCTTATAAGTTAATTTTAAATAATCAAAACTATATTTTTAAAAAATGAAACATCTAAAAATAAATGAAAATAAAATTCCAGTCCATACTAGGCCGGTCCGGTCTTGCCTCAGAATTAGTGCGGTCTGGTCTTCAGTCCAATCACTTTGGGTGATTCCGGTTCCGTTCCCCATCGGTCTTGGATCAATGCTCACCCCCACTACAACAAAAAACATGGGATTGACAGAGATTTTGGCAGAGAAATGCCAAATCCATGCCAAATCTGTGCCAAAACATTTTGGCACGAGCTATTTGGCACGAAAAAGCGGTAAATCCGTGCCAAATTCCGTGTCAATCCTGTGATTTTTTTGAGTGTCCTAGCGAGGTGCGACCGCTCAAAGTCTTGATTTTCCTTTGTTTGAGCCTCAAGCTTTATCCGTAGATGCATTAGTTCGAAGGGGGCAGGCGGATGAAGAGCAGGGTACGTCATTAGGTCAAGAAGAATATATGTTATGGGACGATTCAAAAAACTTGATGGAGGCAGGCGGGCTAACCAGCTCAACTTTACACTATCTTCGGTTATCTTTTTGCATTGTTTTGGGGTTCCCTTAGGCTGCCCGCATTGCAAAGGGTGAAGAGCACAAATGTGAGGTATTCGCCCTCAAATGTGCTTGAAGTGGCATGGAAAATTCCAGATTCAGATGTTGAAGAAAGAAGATGAAGTGTTAACGACACGTCCCTAGGGATGCAATAAACTGGGCCGGCCCGGCCCGTTACTGTTTGGGCCCAGACCGGACCGGGACCGGTTGGCCGGTTCCGGGCTTTTTGCCCGTTTGGGCGAGTCGGGCGGGCGGGGCTCGGGCCAACTTTTGGTGAACCGGCCCAGACGGTTCGGGCCGGGCCCGATTCATTTTTTTTTTTGCTTTTTTAGGTTAGGGTTGGGTGTTTTGGGGGGGTTTCGGGGGTGGGGTGAGGGGGGGGGTCGGGTGTTAATTAGAAACAAAAAAAAAGTTGAACTTGACCCGGGCCTGGCCCGGCCCGGTTAGGCTCGGACCCGGTATCAACCCGGGCCGGTTCCGAGCCCAACATTTTGCAAAAACAGCCCGCCCGGCCCGGAACCGGAACCGGACCGGCCCGGGTCCATCCCTACCTATCCCCCTTCAGAATCGCTGCCATGGAGGATGATGCTCGAAGTATGGATTCGGTTGCTCCATAAGTTTATTTTATTTAATCATGTTTTACTCTTTTTGAGTAGTTTAATTATGAACCATGTTGGTATTGTTATTTCGAACACTAAGGGGGGTAGGGTTTTTGATTGGTTTATTTCATTAGATAGGTTTCTGTTGGGAGGCAATCAGGCTGACTAAGCCGCTAATAGCCTGTTTGCTCTCACCGTTTCAGTGATTAGTCTCGCTCTATCCGGGGTTTACTATTCTATGTCTGATCATGACGTGAGGGGGCCGATGGGCTTTTGGTTTTGTTGGGAGAAAAGGAAATGTAGGTCTTGGGACATGCTTGTTACTTTGGTTCGTTTGATTTTAATATAAGTCATTTCCTTTCCAAAAAAACTAAAAAATAATGTGTTGAGTGAATATATTGACGGTGTTGGGTTGCAGGAAAAAACTGGATTGACTGAGTGAATACGTATAAATTGGTGTTAGATTAGATTTATTGATGGGTTGGGTTGCGGTTAGCCTTATAGCCTAAGTCTAGTTATTATGGTTTTTGTGTTGCTTTTTTTTAATTAGACATTAGTTTTTCTCTTTTTAGTTTTAGGACTCGGATTCATATCAAGGAGAGTAACAAAGACTATGGATCTATCACTTTTGGTTTTTATATGCTCATGTTATTTTTTTTATCATAAAAAAGCGGCCATTATATTAAAATCGATTGGAATATGATTTGTTATATTGCTCTAATTAACTTACTTGATTTGTGGTGATCGTAATCCATTTACATTCAAAAAATAATATCATTCAAAAAATAACACATACTTTTGAGATCTTTTTCTATGAATATTAATGAATTAAATTCAAAGGACAAAAATATGACTTGTTTTAAAA